CTTTCTACTAACTATGCCACCAGATCCTTCTATAACATCTAAGAGATAATGTTTTATCATCTAAAGTCAATATAGAACGAAGGTGTTTTTCAGAAGACAAGTAAGACCAGATGAGATGCTACAAAGGGTGACCTGATGGAGCAGTGATTGGAAGGAGGGATCAGGATTTGATCTAGAGGCCAGAGGGTCATGCCTGCATCAGTATCCCAGAGTCTTGCCACACTCTCCTCAACTCTCTTGCACCAGGTTCCGTCTTGAAATTGTGTGCACAAGCCAAAGTGGAAGAAGGGTCGCAACATCCTGCCTAAGCTGTGTGAACACTCCACTCCCTTTACTCCTGGAAACCACCCTTCCCCAGGAGAAATAGTCCTGGTAAACCCCCAAGCATTTGTTGCTCAGAGATGCCTGTTAGTGTTCCTCCCAGGCCCTGTGGGTTTTCTCCTGCAGGCCTTTCTTATTCCTTAATAAATCGATATCTTGTCTGTTTGTTCTCTTATAAAGCTATAATCTTTCCACAAAGTTGTTTGACTTTCTAGTCATCATTAAGGCCCGTTTTCTGACAACAAAAGCTTTACAAGTTCCTCCCCCCAGACTTTGTAATAAATGAGCTGCATGAGTCAACAGTGGTTCATGTTCTAAAACAGAGAGCCCATGAATGGTTTATGAATAGTCATTATGATTTGTAAACTTTCATGCATATAAAAGTAGTGACAGTAATTTAAAAAAAACTAAGCTATAAAAATTAATAGAGAAGTTAGGTGAAAGAAAAGACTATGCAATAAGAGGTTGATTAGATATTGTAATTAATTACATGAAGTAATGGTAATGTTATAAAATAAAATGCATATGAATGATCCAATGAGATCATAATGACAGAGTTACAAAACAAAATGTACATTAGTATATAATATGTAAATTCTCACTCAAATAGGTGATTACATTTTAGCAACAATGAATGAATGGAAATTCAAGTTTTCTGTAAATTTTTGTTAAAATATCAATTAAAAACAACAAAAAAGATAAATATGTTTTAAAAATACTAATACCCCACTCTAGAATTCCCTTCCTAGTATTATCCTATTTCAACCTGTTTCTCACAGATAGCTGTAGTCATGTGCTATACTTAGTCTCGATGTAGAGGGGTGTGTGTGTATGTGTGAGAGAGAGAGAAAGGGAAAGGTGTGTGGGCAGAGCAGAAGGGAGAAGACAGTACGTGTGTATGTGATTAAAGAGAATGTGTACTGGGTGGCAAGTGAGAGAAACAGAAGTTAGGATGCGAGTGAGTGCATATGTGTGTATGATAGAGAACGTTGAATGAGAGGAAGTTGTGTGTGATAGTGACTGTGTGAGGAAGAGTGAGTGTAGTTGTATATGGAAGCATCTGTGAGCAAAAGTGTGTTAGGGAGGGTGCATACACACCTTTGTTCATTCCCAATAGCAAAACAGTGGAAATAGCCTAAGTGGCCATGAGTCACTTATCCGGCTGGCTGGAGAAACAAAACGGGGCACATGTATACAACAGAATCCTACACAACCACTACGTGTGATAAGCCCTTGAAACATCTGGTACCCTAGATGCATCTGGAGCACCTTTACGGCTTCAGTGCTGGACCATGGGACCTGACGCACAGCTGGCCCTTTAGAGCTTTGTCGGAGGCTGTAACTCGCCCGGGAAGAGCCTGCCCTTCTTTCCCTGGAGCTGCTGTTAGAGGCAAACCACCAGAGAGACGCTACCTTTGGGTTAACAGTGCATCTCCCTGTGGACGGTGCCCCTGAGAGCTCCCTTTCTGACACGTGAAATAAGTCAATCACAAAAGGATAAATACTGTGTAATCTAAAGAGACAAAATTCAGGTATGCCTCTGGACACCATTGTCCATTGGCGGTTACCAGGGAGGTTGGGGAAGGAACGGTTTAAGTCCATAAACAGTTGTTTTCCTTGTTAGGTGCTATCAAGTTGAGTGCAACTCAGTGGGAACCAAGAACAACAGATGAGAACCCTGTACTGATGTGCGCCGTCCTCCGTGCCTCCAACGCGCACGAGCCCATTGCTGTAGTTGCTGGGGATGAGAAAGGTAACACTGAAGGTGGGGGGAAACGCACACAACCTGACTGTGGTGAACGGAGTCACGAAGAAGCACACACAGACACAAAAGCGTTTTTGGTAAGTGCTCAGGCATCTCTGTTTTCAAACAATAACTAAGAAATGTATGTGTGATTACATAGATGTATTCTTACAGGTGTGTGTATATGTTTACATACACCTGCGTGTATAAAAGGGAGCTCTGGTGGCCCAGTGGTAAGAAGTTGCACTGCCAGCCAACCAAGGCAGGCGGTTTGAATCCAGCAGCTGCTCCGGGGGAGAACAGAGGGTCCTCTCCTTTCATGTGAAGTACGCAGCCTCTCTAACCATTTGAATCCTGGGTCTTTAAATTGGCAGCATCACTCTGTATGGAGGACGCCACCAGAGCTCCCTCTGGAGACTTGTTTTAGACACAACCAAATAACCCTGAGTATTTATTTGGTTTTCTGATTTTGAAAAATCCAGTCCCAGGATCATAGGTCTCATGGGACAAATTCGACATAGTAAGGTTTGTGTTCTGCATCCTAATTAGACGAGTAGTGTCTGGGGTCTTAAAAGCTGGCAAGCAGTTATCTAAGAAGTAACTAGTGGTCTTGTCTTACTTGAAAACAAAAGGCTGAGAAGAAATTAACTCCGACAAGAGTCTGCACAAGCCTCCTCCACCAGAAGAGGGCGCCCTGGTGCCATTATCCGAAGCGAATTACCAGCTGACCTAGAGGGGACCCATCTGGGGACCAGCAGGGCCATAGAAAGATGAGCAGTCACCCCCCTGCCTGACTTACAGGAAGATCATCCACTAATCAGTCCCCGCTTGATGACAGAACACCAGAAGGACTAGATGGGGCTGCCAGCCACTACTACCCACTCTTGTGATGAGGGTCCCAGTCGTAACAGAAAGGGGGGGGAGAAATGTGGAACAGAATTGAAACTAGAGGACTCCCTCGGACTCCATGGATCTTGAGCCCACACCACCTTCTGTTAAATAACAGATTGGCACATAAAATGGTAAAACCCGTAAAGAACATGTTCTTACAGCGATCAGCTCTTTGCGAGACCCACAGGGCACCATTTGCCCCACACCAAGGATGTGATGACAAGAGAAACTGGAGGATTGGAAACAAGGAGCCCAGGGGAACATGGGGAGACAGCTGCAAGGATTGCACCCAGAGGACCCACACTTCAGAGCAGCTCGTATGAACTGTTAGTTATAAGACTATTTGTCTTTGGAAGATATTTCACCTACAGCATAATAAAACATCACACACACACACAATTTCTCAAGTCATATTGTTATTGCATAAGCAAGTTCTTCACTTCTGTCACCAGTGTGGTCTCCAGACCCACCACAGGGTAGTATAGGGTACAGTCTTCTGAGCCCCCCTCTCAGCCCTGCATCTCTGCTGGCCTCTTTACACCCACGTTACCCCTTTGGGCCTAGATCCTTAGGGGGCCTCAGACCCTGAAGCCTCAAACTCTTTGTCCTCCCCCTTCTCCCTCTCCATGCTCTGTGACCCCACAGCACAGTAGTACACAGCCTCGTCCTCCTCCTGCAAGCTGGTGATTCTCAGGTACCCCGTGTTCCTGGCCACGTCTTTGAAGCTGGAAAAGCGCAAGGGGACCTTGGGACCCTGCTTCTTCTTCGTGGATGAGAAGAAACTCAGCAGGAACCTCGGAGACTGGCCGGGCCTCTGTTGGTACCAGTAGATTTTATAAAGGCCCACGTTGTAGTCGCCGCTCAGGGTGCAGGCGAGGCTGACTGACGTCCCGAGGGAGGCGGACACCCGTGGTGGCTGGTGCAGCACAGGCTGAGAGCCACAGCCTGCAACAGAGAAGCGAGTAGGGCCTGGAGGCGGGCAGAGCACAGGGAGGGCAGATGGGCTGAGCTCAGCGCGGTTCTCACCTGCACCACAGATGAGCAGCATGAGGAGGATGGGAGCCCAGGACATGGTGCGTGCAGCGTCTCAGGTCACAGCTGCCAGATAGACCCTGGCAGAGTGGACTAGCCCAGGCTCCTCCCCAACTCTGAGAGGTGGGCTCCGCACAGCTCCCTCCCCACCCTGTTCCTATCCACTGCCCCCGGTCTCTTCCTTGGTTCGCAGTGCCCGTTAGTGGCAGCTTTTGCTTGGGAGGAAGCACCTGTCAGAGGCACACGGGTTGGTGGGCAGGAGACTCTCAGGTCCCCGGGGGCTAGGTGTACTTTCAACGCTAGGAAGCTGAGCTCACAGAAAGAAATCCCTTGTCCATACTTGTTGATTTGGGTGCCATGGACTCATACTGACCTTGACTCATGGTGACCCTGTGAAAACAGATCGAAACCTTGCCCTGTGTTGCACCATCTTCATGGTCTGCATCATGCTCAAGTTCACAATCGCTGTGAACAATCCATTTCCTTGAGGGTCTTCCTCTCGTTGACCGCTCTTTCCTAGCAAGCTGTCTTTTCCCAAGGACTGGGCCCTCATGATAAAATGCCCAAAATAAGTGAGAGAGAGTTTCTCCATCCTTGCCTCTAAGTGGCACCCTGGCTGTACTTCCTTCAAGACAAATTTGTTTGTTCTTTTGGCACGCGGATAGTCTTCATCAACACCACAAGTCAGAGGCATCGATTCTTCTTTGGTCTTCCTTATTCATATTTAACTTTGGGATACATAGGAAGCGACTGAAAACACCAAAACTTGGATTGGGTGAACCTTAGTCCTTAAACTGACATCCTTGCACTTTAGCATTTGGAAGAAGACTAGTACTTGAAAGAGTAGGCTTGCCCAATGCAAGATGTAAATTTCATTGCTTGAATGCTGTGACCTTGGGTGTTGATTGTGGATTCAAGTAAAATGAAATGTCTAAGCTCACAGCTTTGTAAACTGAAAAGCCATGACAAAGCGCCTCCTTCATGAAGAAAGGAGAGACAGAGAGAGAGAGAGAGAGAGAGAGAGAGAGAGAGAGAGAAAGGAAGAAAGGAAGGAGAAAGGAGGGAGGGAGAAAGGGAAATGAAAAGAAAGAAAAAAAGCCAGTCTGGTCTGATTATAATGCTTGGGGTCCCTGTGTGGGTCAAGGTTCTTCAGTGAAACAGAACCAATTAGATGCCTGTAGATGTGCGAAACCTCTGTCAGGAAGCCGCATCCGCCTCTATGACTGTCCCAGCACAGCAGTGCTCCATGGGATCCTCGGGGCTCTGCCTCTCAGAAATAGATTGCCAGACCTTTCTTCAGCAGCACCTCTGGATGGGATGAAACCAGCCACCTTTTGGCTAGTAGTGGAATGCTTGATCTTTGCACCTCGAGAGTGCCCTATATAATATGTGCAGTGAGAGAAAGGTTATTTGAAGGGGCTGACTCCTGGCCCTGAGGGTGACTGGGAAGTCCAAAACTCCCTGGAGACACCTGCAGGCTTTTGGCTCGAAGATCAGGCGACAGGAAGGGTGCAAAGAGAAAGGTGAGTTCTTCCCTTCAGAGATCTCCACGGAGGCCCCTACACCCTGAGGAAACTCCTGTTACAGCCTCTTGCTCCCATTGTGCTGCGTTCTACAAGGTGTAGGGAGAAAGCAGGCTCAAATTCAGGTCCACTCACTGCATTTGAGTTGGAACCAACTCGTCGCTGACCTTCCAGGGGGATTTTGTAGGCTGTAAATCACACGGGAGGAGGTTGTGCTCCTTTCTCCCACGGAGCTGCTGCTGGATTTGAACCATAGGAGAGGCACCGCCTTTGGGATAGTGGCACAACTTCCACCATCAGAGTTCTCTTAGAGCAAGAACACCACCCCCAAACCTCAAAATTCTACATGTTCACACCCTAAGGAAACTCCTGTTGAACAGACTGCTTATGTCACATTGCCTTAGATGACACTGTGAAAGAATCACGAGTCTTAACGTTTGACCAAACCCCTTCTGCCCAGAACCATAGCCAGGTCGGCATGGTGCGTGCCCTTCACACTCACAGTCCTCTTCCACACTTCTCACACTCTCTTCAAGCCCAGTTCCTGCTCCTATGAGAATGGACAGGCCCATCTGATGGAGACAGAGCTGCTGCTTCCCCCCTGAGCCTCTTCACTGCTTCTCTTCACCATCCTTTCCCCAGGGAGCTGTGTGGCAGGGCTGTGCCTCGGCCTGCTCCCTGCACCTGCAGAAGTTTGTTCCAACAGTTGACCTTCTGAGGGCCACAGCTCCCAGGAGGCCCAGGGTCTGCTCTGCTCCGTGATGATGCTTGACAGCACCCCCTCCTTCCTCACCACATCCCAGATCTCTGAGAGCAAAGCATAGCTTATCAAGGCTACAGGGTCCAGAGGGGACTCTGGCTCCCTGTGGGCCTCAAAGACAAGGCTTCTCTTGGGGGCAAGGGGCTACTGCAGGGGAATGGTTCATTTGTGACTGGTTCTACCCTTGAGTGAGGAGAATCAGCCACTGACACGGAACTATGTCTTGAATCCTACAAAGGTGTATAGGGTGACCCACACCCGCTCTAACCAGGCAGCCCGCTGTTAGGAGTAGAACTGCTCTATCCTGTTTTGAAGGTTATGAGTAGGGTCTTCAAGGCTCTGAGTAGGGTTTACACGGCTGTGAGTAGGACTTACATAGTTGTGAGTAGGGTTTTCAGGCTGTGAGTAGGGATTTCAGGCTGTGAGTAGGGATTTCAGGCTGTGAGTAGGGATTTCAGGTTGTGAGTAGATACTTTATTTTATTCAAGAAGGCATTAGGAAATAGCTGTAGGAGGTTATAAAGTATAGAGGGGGGCGGTGGTTATTGCATCAGAAATTTCCTGTGCAGAAAGAAATTTGTAATTGCTGAAGAAAACAGACTTGATAAATACAACCTAAAGGACAAGCCTATTGCCTTATCACAGGCGGCCTGACACTTGGTCTTGGACTCATAAGACTTGGTCACTGTTTCTTGGTTAATTTTCCAACATCAAGTGATGAAGACTAAAGGGTAAACGACACACCATGGCTCATCCTCACTCTGTTCTCTGTTGTTGCAGAGGTCTTGCAAACAATTTCAAAAGGGGTGTATTCTGGTGTCAGGTTAGAAATTGTGAAGAACAAACTCTAGATGCTAAGAAAGGTGTGTTTGCTCACTGTCTTTAGCCTGGTCACTGCAAAGTGGGAATGGCATTGGGGCTTTGGTTACAAAAGGTATTATTCAAGCAAAGAAGGATCTTTTAGTAAATCAGTGTGAGCTGATTGGATTTGCTGGATTCATCTCACAATGCGCTGTGGGCTGGAAGCTTCTTGTTTAGAGCCAGTTAGGGCCTGCCGGGCAGGCCTGCGTATTTTATAGTTGGTTGGGCCCGAGGGCCTAGTGTTAATTGTATTTGGAAGGAACATTTCTCTAAGTAATACAACACGGGTCTGTCAATTCACTGTACTTAGGTGACTTGGGGGTTGCTGGGATGCTGCAGGCTGTACCACTGGTGGGTCAAATACCATAGTGGTTTCCCCATGGTGAACAGTGTTTGGCGGAGCTCCCAAATTAAGACAGGCTTGGAAGCAGGAGTGGCATCCACTTTCTAAACAACTTACCTCTGGAAACTCAATGAACTTAGAGAAATGACAGTAGTTATAGAACAGGGTTCACATCTTTTGTTCACAGGGTTACCATGAGTCATGCTTCACTTCACAGCACTTAACAACAACAACAACAACACTTCCTTGAAGCACCTGTACTGGCTATCAGAGTTGTGTGCTTCTGAGCATGAGTTGAGCGTTTTTATGTGGGGTCTGTTGTGTTTTTTGGCAGTGTGTACATACATTGTGCTGGTGAGCATGTCTGCGTCTCGGCCACTTCCCCAGCTTTGCAGTACAGTTATCAGTGTCCATCTTTCCCAAGCGTCTTTCTACTACTGCCCGCTGTGTGTACTCATCTAAGTGAACTCATCTTAATATCACCTATACCTGGAGGTTTGAGAACTGTTCTCAATTCTCAGATGGACAAATGGAGATATAAAAATAAATACGCAGTCTCCGAAGTTCACTTGCGAAAGGGTGAAGAAAATAAGAAACCAGACAAACTTAGGTTCTCAATGACCTGGCAGCACTCTTATGAACCAGGGGACTGTTGATCACAGTGCAAGGGAGTTAAGAGTTCATGTCTGTGGTCGGAACTTAAGAACCTGCCAATTTACAAATAAAGTCAATCTACCTCACAGAGTGCGTACATACATGGACACGTACACACAAACTCAATCAACAAAAACCTATTGTTCTTGACTCATGTCTGGCTTCCAAGGCTATCAATACTCGAGGACAGTCTGAATCTTTCTCCCGAACAACAAGCAGTAGAGTCAGACTGTTGAACTTCCAGGTCATGCCCCCATCCTCTACACACTATGTATATTGAGCCTACAGCTTTTCAGAATGACCCAGCACTACCAGATAACCTTGTGTCAGAACAGTGCAGAGATGTTTGTTGGTGCATATTGTCACCAAGTCTCGCCTTGTCAGTAGTTTTTCAGAGCAGAGAGAAAGTCCAGATACTACTCTTAACCTATAGTTTGGGGGGTTTTGTAGCACTTTTCAGGAACACCAGATCACCTTAGAGTTGGGGCCCACTTTTCAAAAGCTGCAGCAGATACCAGTCGGTGACGTAAAGCAGTGTGTTTGTTAATAGTCACAGCTGGATTCCTAGATAGTAAAAAATTATCTCTTTTTTGTTATTTTCAGGAAAAAAAATCAGTTTTCTAAGTGCTGTAGAATATGTTTCATGTAATTGAATAAATTTCTAAAAAAATTTGCTTGCAATCAGTACTTTATCCTATTCATGAGATGGAAATGCAGACATAGGGAGGCAAGCAGGAGCTCAGATGATGTCAAGAGGTCACTGGAAATTTAGTGGCTCTTTTACAACTTCCATACATTGACCCTGTGAATATACTGTAGAACCTCGTCCATATCAAGCAGAGCTCCCAAATAATATGTTAACGACAAAATTAACACGTGTTAGCAACACAGCGTCTGGGA